TGCATTTGACCTCTCACCACTTCCTAAAGATCTGGACTCTTTCTCTTGCATTCTCACAGATGAGCAGAATCAAACAAATCTCAATCTCAATCTCTCTCTCTCCCCCTGCCTCTCTGGCCCTCCCCCTCTCTCACGTCCCGTTCCCTCCCATCCCCCTCCCCTCCCTCCCTCCTTCTCTTCCCTCCTCCCTCCCTCTCTCTCCTTTTGTTTTGAAATCCTAGCCATAGCTAAGATCAAAAAGTATAGATTTCCAGCTCATATTCACAGGTTCAGCATCGCTTCACTGAACATTACAGATTGGGAACCCATTTGCCAATGGGAAGTTGTTCTTTGACTCCATCTCCTTTCTTCCTATTTGAAATATCTTGGCCGGGCTTGGTGGCTCAGCCTGTAATCCCAGCACTTTGGGAGGCCGAGGTGAGTGGATTGCCTGAGCCCACGGGTTCGAGACCCAGCTGGGCAACTTGGCGAGACCTCATCTCTACAATAAATCAAAAATTAGCTGGGTGTGGTAGCACACACCTGTAGTTCCAGCTACTTGGAAGGCTGAGGTGGAAGGATCGCCAGAGTCTAGCAGGTCGAGGCTGTGGTGACCGGGAGCAGCCACTGCACTCCAGTCTGAGTGACAGAGTGAGACTCCAACTCAAAAAAAAAAAAAAAGAAATATCTTATTTCTGTAGTCCATTGAATCTGTGGTTGTTTCCTTGACCTAACTTTTAATTTTACCTCTTGTACATATGTTATAATACAATTTCAACCAGCCGATCAGAATTTTTATCTGCCTTTTCAAGACTGGCATCTTTGTAAGATCTCAAGTCACAAAGAAATGATCACAAATACAGACATTCAGGTACAACAGATGCTCATCACAGCAAAAATACAATAACAGTCAGAAAACCCTAAAAAGTAACCTAAATACCTAGTAATCAGAATGTGGTGACATAAATAATAATCCAATTTAATCAATGGAAAATTATGCAGACTGAAAATATCTGCAAAGAATGTTAATTGTCACATAACATTGAGTGAGAAAAAGAGAAAACAAGACTGCATATAATTCCATCATAGTAAAGAAAACTATACGCATGTAGAAGAAGGACTATAATGAAATAGTTCCTTATGTTTGTGATGGTATGCTTTTCTTCATTTTCCCATTTTTCTAGAATGAACCTATATTGCTTTTACATTTGAAAATAAAAAGTTTCCAAAGACCAAAAAGGCAAGTTGCTACATTAAAATCCAGAAAGCTACATAAGCCTTTCCCCTCTCCTAGACTGGCTATTAGGAAGCTGCTTTCTCCTCTAACTCACTTTAAAGAGGGAAGGTGTTGTCATATTATTAAGCAATCAGTCAGTAGGGTTCATCCAAGAGCAATAAACTGACCTCTCAAGAGAAAATTAGTGAAGCTCAGGAAATTAGAGCTGGAAACCCCTATTGAGTGGTCTAATGCATCCCTCAAGAATCAGTGCCATATACATTACACTTTCTGGTGTAGGCACTTTCCTTTCAATTTAATTTTAAAAGTTTCAAGTGATTACAATTTCACTGCTACATTTTAGGCCAGTCAACAAGCAATTAATCCATCTTCCCTCAGCAGAACATAAAAACTCCAGTGAACTTCAGAGTTGTGTACCTAACTTTCTCTCCTGGACCTGCTAACAAACATCTTAGGCCTAGTTCAAATATCTTAGCTGAACAAATACAAATACTTTATACCTAGTTCAAATTCTAGTACCTCCACTTAGCTCTAAGACCTTACACATGTCCCTTTACCTATCTGATCCTAGGTTTCCTCATTTGGTTAAAAAAAAAAAAAAATGAAACCTCACTACCTATATCACAAAATTGTAGGAATTAATGAGCCGATGCATGTAGGGAATGCAACAGTAGGGACTTGGGACATGTTTGGTGATTCTGGAGAGTTAGACTAGAGTTGAACAGTTGTTTTCCTGGCAGACAAAATAGTCTATATTGACTCAAGAACCCTTTCTTTTGGATTTCCCCAGATGATACTAGTATGTTAGAGTTGACAGTACAGTTCATGACCTTGATAAGTAAAATGTAACTTTGGTACCCAAACCTTGGGCTAGTCACACCAATTAAGTTAACCAACCTCAGATCACAAATATGGCTCAGAGAGCACCCATGGAACCTTTTCATTGTTAATAAGAGCCCAAATTGGAACACTGGCCATGGAGATGGGAAAAAGAAGGTGGAATGAAGAAGTCACATCAGAGACAGAATCAGTAAGATTTGATGAACAGTTCATGTAGAATCTGAAGGGACAAGAATAATGCCCCAACTGTCTGACTTGGATGACTAAATGCACTGTTTATTCATTCAATAAATCATCTATTGAGCTCCTACTAAGGGCCAAGCACTGTTCTGGGTTCAGGGGACCAAACAGAAAAAAAAAAATCTCTGCCTTTTGTGGAGCTTCTTTTCTAGTGAGAAAGATAGACAGCAAACAAATAAACAAGGCCATTTCTGACTGTGATCATTGTAACATAGGAAATGAACAGGGTGATGGGATGGGGAGCAAGAGAATGGAGTCTAATTTAGATATAATGGCTCAGGAAGGCCGGTCTCGGAAGGTTACATGTAAAATAGGTGGGTCCTATAAGATGAGAAGGAACCAATAGGTAGAAAGGAGGAGAAGCATTTTAGGAGGAAGAGACAGCAAGTACAGAGATCTTCAGTGGAAAAAGGTTAGGTGTGTTTGAAGGTAGATGAGCTATGTGACTGGAGAAGAGAAGGGGATTGGCAGAAGAGGAGACTGGAGAAGGGAGCAGGGTTCCTGGCCTTGACAAGCAGGTTCTTGGGAAAGACAGTGAATTCACACTGAATTTGAGACATCTGATGTGGAGATCTCCAAACTAAAGATCCAAGACTGTATCCTAAGAACTAGAGACAGACTACTGGAATTTGAGAAATTATTCAGTTGCAACAGATTCACCAGGGAGTATTCTTAAAAAGACAGATGTCTCAGGCATTACAAACACAGATTTCTGGGGGATCACCTTGGGAAATCCTAATTCAAGTAGGTCTTGGTTAAGACCTGGAAATCATTTTTTTTTTCAATATTCCCGGGTAATTCTGGTCCGTTCATTCAAGAAATATTTTTTGCATTTCTACCATGTACCAGGACAGTTCTAAGTTCTGGAAATACAGCTCTGAACAAGTTAGTCAGCTCACAGTCTAGAGTGATAATACACACCACAAAACAAATGAGCTGGTACATATGAAATAATTATGAGGAAATATACTACATAAATCCAGAGAGAAGATCTCTCTTTAAGGAACTGACTTGAGCTGATAACTGATGAATAAAAAGGAGGAGCCATGTGACAAACTTGGGGAAAAGCATTCCAGGTAGAGAGAATAGCCAATGCACTTGGTTGAGAATCCAGTAGGTGAATCTAACCTTTTGCTTATTCCCACTTGATTAATCAACCAAAATGAGGAAGAAGGCATGATGGAGAAGGTACTGTTTCATCTTTGTGTGTTCACCCAGCAAGCTACACTAAGCACGTGCCTTGTACCAGGCACTGTGCCAGGTGCTGACACAAAGATGAGCAAGTTGGTCCCCTCTCTCAGAGAGTGTACAGTCCAATGAGGGAAGCAGATAACCAAATGAGTACAGCCCATGAGATAAGCACAAACATTCCACATGATCAGTTCACATTCTGAGAAAGCCAAGCAGATGATCAATACTTTTGAGTATGATTAATACTTTGGTGTATGTGAACAACTGCTTCCAAGATTCTGCATAATAACAATGTTTATGTGGTCCTGCCAGCTCAGAATATCTGGGTTTTTGTTGAAATATTTGCAACAATGGATGACAGGTTTAAGATACTATATATTGGACTATATTCAGAATATAGGAGGAAATAGCTATTTCCTAATAATAGCTTAGTGGTTTTTTTTGGTTTTTTTTTTAAATTCTTTTGTAGAGATGAGGTCTTGCTATGTTGCCTAGGCTGGTCTCGAACTCCTGGGCTCAATTATTCCTCTCACCTCAGCCTCCCAAAGTGCTGGGATTATGGGCATGAGTTACCAGACAAAAATAGCTAATATTTATTGAGAATGTGATGTCTCCTGGCTTAATGTGCAATCTCTCAGAGTCCTCGCAACACCCCTGTAAGCCAGAGGCTATTATTATGCATCTTTTCCTACACTCAGCAAGGTGAAGGGACTTTCCTGAAGTCACTCAAATCAAACATGACAGCTTCCCGGCTCTGTCTGGTTTGAGTCTCAGTTCTGGTCCACACTGCCTCTCTTGAATGACTTTGCCACTGATGCAATTGCTATCCTCCTTCCAGCTCCTCAAGTGATTTCTTCTCTCTCTTCCCACCCCAATCACCCATCTGGGTTGTCTACACCAGGCAGATCTACATGGGTTTCTCCCCATAAGTCCTGTAGCTGAAAGAGTGGATAGGAGAGGAATTCCTTGTTTCCACAGTTCAGAAAAAGTAGGGGGCACCTGGACAGGCACCAGCTGGGTGGTGCCCACTGACTGCCTTTACTAAACTCCACCTCCTGAGCCCCCCTGTGGAGTGTAGAAAACTTAAGAGACCAAAGCTGATACCTGGCTCCCAGCCCACCGGTGGGGGAGGAGCCATCACTGGGCCTCAGTATTTAAAGGAAACTGCCTCAGGAGCCAGACAATTAAAGTAAAGTCAAGAAGTAGTAAGTCTGTTACCAATTGGATAGGGTGGGCCCTGTTTGGTCTACATATTCCAATTAAATGGTTAAAGAAAAAAAAATGAGCTCGGGCAGTTTCGATGGCTCACACCTGTAATCCCAGCACTTTGGGAGGCCGAAGCAGGAGGACTGTTTAAGGTCGGGAGTTCGAGGCTGCAGTGAGTTATGATCGTGCCACTGCACTCCAGCCTGGGCAACAGAGAGAAAGCCTGTCTCAAACAAAAATAATCATAATAATTAATAAATAATGAAACGAGCTGGTCATCTTCAACCGGCAGCCTGGCCAGTTTGGGACTTAAAGAGCTTCCCCTGCTCTGAGCCCCCTTTTATTCCAGACTTCTCAGTGTGGGTCTGCGCGTCCCTCCGATGTCTTTGGGTGTGTCCGCCAGAGAGTGGAGCGTCTCCGTCTGCGTTTCCCCGTTCCTCCGGCGGACTGTCTTCCCCTGCCATCCCCGCCTCCCCTCACTCCTTTTCTTCCTCCCTCCCTCCCTCCTTGTGGGGAGGCTCTTGGCCCGGGTCCCTGAGCCCGGGCGGGTGCTGGCGGAGGACGCAGAAGGGGTGAGGTCACGTCTCCCTTGAGCCCCGCGCCGCTGGCTTTTCAGACCCTCGCCGCTAGCCGACCGCCAGAGCCCTAGACCGCGCCGACGGTGCGCTCCTCCGCCCTCCCTGCGCCCATGTCTCAGTACGCCCCCAGCCCGGACTTCAAGAGGGCTTTGGACAGCAGTCCCGAGGCCAACACTGAGGATGACAAGACTGAGGAGGACGTGCCCATGCCCAAGAACTACCTGTGGCTCACCATCGTCTCGTGTTTTTGCCCTGCGTACCCCATCAACATCGTGGCTTTGGTCTTCTCCATCATGGTGAGTGGATAAGGGCCGTGGGCGGCCGGGAGGAGGTGCCCAGGCGGCTTTTCGACCCTCTCGGGGACCTGGCGAGTCTTTGCGGCTTCCGCTAGGAGCTCCTTGTCCTCCGCACTTCCTCCTCCTCACCTTTCTCGGGCCCTCGCGGCTCTCCCCGCCACCCTCAGCACCCCCTCTGCACTCGTGGAGGTGCACAGAGCCCTGGCCAAGCCTCCTCCAGGCGGTAGATTCCCTCTTCTTTCCAGCCCCCAGAGTGCGTCTCCAACCCTGGGAAGTTCTTCTGTGGACTTTGCAGCTCCTTCCTACCTCTGACGTTCCTAGGCACTGGCCCTGGTCCTTTCACTCTGCTTTTCTAGAGCCCCCCCAAACGCACCGCCTTAGCGGGCACGAGTGAGCGCGCGCCCTCTCGGAGCACTCAGGCCCCACATCCTCACTCCGCGCCGGATGCTCCCGCCCTCCAGGGCCCAAGACTGTCTCTGTCTCGGCATTTGCTCCTTTCTCTCTTTGCTGCGCCCAGGTCGCCGCCTTGGCCACTCCCCGAGAGCTCCCAGGCGATTCATTGCCCACCCCGCCATCCATCCCCCGGCCCCGCGCTTTGGCACCGCACGCTCTCTCCCAGGAACAGTTCTTTTCGCTTCTTCCTACACTCATCTCCTGTTCCTTTCCTCTGTCTGGCACCCCGTTTCCAGCTCGCCCGAGGCTGACTCACACCCACAACCTCTCCAGGCCTTTCTTGGGCACCCCCTGAGCCCCTCTCACCAGCAAAGTGCGTGCGCCTTTTACTCTTCCTACCTCAGCGCGCTGTAGGTCTCCGCCACTGATTGCACGCTGACCCTAAGCTCGCCTCTCTCGGCGTCCCCAAGGGCTCTCAGGTATCCCTCCACTGCTCTGTCCTTCGCCGGGCGCTCCAGGCTCGGTGCCGCTTCTCTGCGAGTCACCTCTGCTCACCGGCCTCCCGAGCTACGCGCCCCTCGAGGAGGTGCCTCCAGGCCGCCCCCCCACCCCCCCACCCCCCGGGAGCTCAGCTCCGCGATCCTCTTCAACCCTGGTAGGAACTCCCAGGCGAACCCCACCAGGAAGGCGACGAGCGCCCGCCAGGGTCCTCGCCTTATTGACTGGAGCAGCTGACTCGGGGTGGCGGCGGGATGAGGTTCGGACTGGCACTGTCCCGGGACAACCCTGCAGTTGGCGCTCCCTCCCCACCGGCCCACCTCGCCGGAACACAGACCTTAGAGTCCGGATTCGCTAGGTGAAACTGCGAGCCATCCCTCCCCTCACTGTCAAGTCCACCCACACTTGCCCCTGGGTGACATCATATTTGATTCGTGGGTACCCGCAAGACTCCATTTGCACCCGCAGCTTGCCCTTTACCAAACCCGGTTTTGTAGGCCGTGTCTGCAGGAACATTCCTGCGCGCAGCCTCAGAAGTTCAGAGCATCTGGGTTCAAATCCCAGTTCTCATCACTCTCTAGCTGGATGACGTCCAAAGTCACTGCATCTCTGAAACTCAATCTCTTTGTAAAATGGGCGGAGTAGTAGCCATATTTCTTGAAGCTGTTGCGAGCATTAATGATACAATAATTGTAAAACGCTTAGAACAGTGGTCAGCATAGTATTATAAAATCTTTACTCAAATGTCACTTTACGAGGCCTTCTCTAATCACTGTCTACAACCCAAACCCTGGCAACCTCTATTTCCCTTTTCTGGCTGGCTTTTGCCCAAAGCACTTCTCTCCAGGTGATATCGTATTATTTTATTTATCCTTGTGTTTATTGTCTGTGTACCCTCATTAGAATATAAACTCTATGACGGCAAGGATATTTGTCAGTTTTGTTTGTTACTGTATCTTCAGCACCTAGAAGAGAATCTGGCATGTGGTGCATGCTTGATAAATATTATGAAATGAACGCAGGCATGAATGAGTGGTGTTAATGCATCATTAATATTTTTTCTCCCATCCTGGAGCCCAGGAACCCATTGCATCCGGTTCCTTGAGACCAACCAGCCCACTTCCTCCCTTCCTTCCTCTCCCCAGATATCCTGTCTTGATTGAGTGTTTTGCAGAGAGGCTGGAAATGGTGCTGCAGCCAAATTCTCCAGGCAGCAGCAGACGCTCTTGCTGGCACTGGTGCCCACATTCTATCCTAGTTTATTAATGAAGCAGCCAATTCACCCCTTTCCCAGTGCCACTTAGAAAGCTGTTTGCAAAGACTTTTTCCCTCATTGGGCTGCAATGAGCTAGCACTCCAGCTGGTAGTGACAGGCCAGATACCAATGTTGCCACTTGGTGTGCCCTGGGAGACGCGGTTTATACATGCTTTGATTAGAAATCTCTCTTTTAAATCCTCTCTTCCCCAGCCCCTCCCCCAAGCCCTTTTCAGTAGTTTTATAGCAAGAGTTCATTCTGTTGCCTGTACATTCTACATACTGCCAGCATTCCATTGCTGGAGAAGGAAAGTTGACTGTGGGTAAGTTTCACGCCTTTTTAAAGCCTTGGTTTCTTCATCTTTAAAATAGGAATGTGAAAGCTGTTTTAAATCTAGCAAAACTGTTGTTAAGGATGAAACAAACAAAGCATGTCAAGCTCCTAAGACTATGCTAGGTACATGCAATAATTGTCAGACAGATGTATAGATCTGGAACCTGGAGACTTCATAAGTTGCTTAGGAAAACAGACAGAACATCACACAAGTGAAACCCAAATTTCTAAAAGATGGCTCCTACATCCTCCCTTTTGTCCTCTCTCTCTAAGGCACTGAAATGTTTTCCCACTGATGTAGTGCAGGTCTGGCTTAACAAATGTCATCACAAAGGCTCCAAAGTCCAAAGGACAAAGAGAAAGAGGAAAGGTATTCAACAAGAAGGTGGCCAACCAGTTCTGCCAGGTGTGTGCTTTCCCTAAGGTATCTTATGATGTTCAATCCTGGATATTTTCAAATCTCGCTTACCTGTAATTTATGATAAGTTCAGCCACAGCAATGATGTCTCCGCTGGGGGTTGTACCATTACCATGGAGGCATTTGGAAATGTGGGGGAGTATCTGTGGTGGTCTCAAAGATTTGGGGCACTATTGGCATTGCTGGAAAGACCCAAAACATTAATATCCTGCCATGATAGGGATTGTTCCCTAATGAAGAATAGACACATCTGCAATACCAACAGCACCCTGATTAAGAAACACTGTAAGATAATGCAAATTTATATAAGCATGAATGCATGGAAGATATTGACAAAGCTCAAAATAACTAGTTCCCAGATGGTAAAAAAAAAAAAACAAAAAAAGAGTGATATCAAAACAATCAATACCTATATTTATTAAATCATGCCTGAAATGCCTTCTATAAAATTATAAAGTTGGAGAAAGTGTTGGAGAATAAAACTACTTTGAAAAATCCACACTTGAGAATTCTCAAATGGATATCTGTATTCTTTCCACCATCTCATGTGGAGCCAGGTGAGTTCCAAGGTCCTGGGGTCTAGGAGACAACACACCACGCATGAGTTCCAGTCCAATTTACCTTGTATCAGAATGTTGGTGGGTTAAACATTGCCAGTAGCAGAGACACAGAGTGTTTATTCCTCTACATACTGAAAAGTCTATTTGTTGAATGTGTACTTAACTTTGGGGCTACAAATCTCAAGAGTTTCCTCCCAGGCTGGGCTGCTGCTAGACCCATATAGCACGCACATGTGAATATGAATGTGGCACACTCCCTCCATGCAGACACAGAGTAGATGACACTGAGGTCTAGATCCTACAGAAACAACAGTCAGCAAGAAGAAAGCCAATTTACCCTGCTTAAAAAATTTGGAAGTACCAGTTGAAGATACTACCTTTGAAGGTAATAATGAAGAGTCGGGCTGAAGAGGGGAGGATTCATTGAAAGTCTGTCTAGGCTGAGCTCAGTGCCTCAACCTGTAATCCCAGCACTTTGGGAGGCCAAGGCGAGTGGATTGCCTGAGCCCGCGGGTTCAAGACCAGCCCAGGCAACTTGGTGAGACCTCGTCTCTACAATAAAATAAAAAATATCCGGGCATGGTAACGTGCGTCTGTAGTTCCAGCTACTCAGAAGACTGAGGCAAAAGGATCACTGGAGTCCAGCAGGTCAACACTGGGGTGACTGTGAGCGTGCGTGCCACTGCACTCCAGCCTGGGCGAAGGAGTGAGACTCCAACTCAGAAAAAAAAAAGTCTGTCTAGGAAAACAACCAGAGATTGTCTACTAACCCATGCAACCAGGCACCTATTTCTTTACCAACCCTAACAGAAGATGGGAGACTTGCCCTCTGGTAAGAGTAAACAGAATGACCTCTAGACACCAGACACAACTGAGAGAAGAGTTGAGGGGCCAAACTAAAGATTGAATTTTTTTTTGGGGGGGGGGTTTGAGTTGGAGTCTCACATTGTCGCCCAGACTGGAGTGCAGTGGCCACTCCCGGCCACCGCAGCCTCCACCTGCTGGGCTCCAGCGATCCTTCCACCTCAGCCTTCCAAGTAGCTGGAACTACAGGCACGCGCTACCACGCCTGGGTGATTTTTGATTTATTGTAGAGATGAGGTCTCGCCAAGTTGCCCAGGCAGGTCTCGAATCCACGGGCTCAGGCAATCCATTCACCTCAGCCTCCCAAGGGCGCGGGATTACAGGCTGAGCCACCGAGCCTGGCTTAAAGATTGACTTTAATAGAAAATCAGCAAGGAAGCTCCTGCCCCCGCTTAGTTCCCTTACTCTGGCATCCAGACAGAAGACTGGAGAATTTCTCCCCAAGGATGTGACCTGTCCAAAAGAAAACCTTTAGGAGTCCTCCAGAGAAATGATGAAATCTCCATCCAATCATCCCACAGAATGCCTACCCATTGACAAGCTTCATCCTCACACACAAAACTTCCAAGCGGCTTTTTGGTGTCTCACTTTCCAGTATAATGAGGCAGCCAAAGATTATCAGATATTTGAGAAATTCTCTGACAAAAAAAAGCCTGTGGTTTACAGAAGAAATAAAGC